CCTGTCTTTTAAAAATGTAGTGCCATTATCCACTAAAAAACATATTATTTTATATCATTTTCTCAATAGCTATTTGTCTCAATTTGTTGAAAAGAGCAAGAAAGTAAACATACAATTGCTAAATACGTAAACACATTTTTAGTGCAAGATAACAAGACCTGTGACTTTACTGTGCTTTGAGTTTTTATAATCACAGTGCACTTTACACGAATTGCTACACTAGAAATGTTAACTAAAGGAGCTCCAAACAAAAGAAGTGCATACTAAACATTTTCTTATATATTATATACAGTATGTATACTGTATGTGGGTGTATACATGTGTAAATGTGGGTGCTTGTAGGGTGGGCAAACCCAGTCATATCTGGGAACCACTGAACATCACTAAACGATTTTCATATATGTTTGCTGGAGATTACCCCCAACTATATTTCTTTAAACATATTTTCCCTTAAGTTTGAAACTTTATACTATTTTAAGGGAAATTGAATCAGACTTCTTCCAGATAACACACATTTGTCTAGGATGCCAGTGACCCAAATATCAAAGGGTTTGAAATCAATCCAAACCCCAAGCCATAATGTCCAAGTCCAACATGGCAAAACGTGTTACCCTTTTACTGATTTACACAGGCAGCAATACACATCGCATGTGTACATATAGAGGCTTACACATAAACATATTTTATACCTAGACATTAACTGTAATATGTTTTAGCATTTTATTTTGACTGTACACTTGATCTGAAACATAAGAGAATGCCACGTATAGAGACGCAAGAGATACCAAGCATGTGAAATTGTGTATCTTCTTAAAAACAATTGTCTTTGCTTTGAAAATATTAATTATTACACAATTAAGCTCCTTGAAGGCAGGGACTACATTTTTTTTTTCACTGTTTAATGCCCAGTGCTTCAGAAATTCAAAACAAAAAGCAATTGACACATTAGTTGCACAATAATTAACTGTTGAATGAATAATTGATTAATAATAAATGGTCCACATTCTATAATTAGCTGTTTTTCAATACAGGGAAGAATATGTAGTGAGTTAATCTGAAATACTATAGGTACCATTTTTCTTCCATTTCCATGTAAGTTCAGGACACGACGAATTGTGGGTTGCTATTCTATTCTGTTCTATTTCTATTCGTTTGCAAGAGTGAATTATCTCTCATTACAGATTGCTGTTGTTGTGGCATGCCACCGAGTCGGAATCATAGCAACCCTATAGGACAGAGTAGAACTGTCCCATAAAGTTTCCTAGCCTGTAATCTTTAAGGGAGGAGATCTCCAGGTCTTTTCTCTTGCAGAGCCCCTGGCAGGTTTGAACTGCTAACCTTTCGGTTAGCGGCCCAGTGCTTTAACCATTGCACCACCACAGATTGCTTGCTGTTTAAATCGTAGGAATTTTAAGTTCACAAGTAAGCTTAGTTAGCTTACAAGCGCTTTTCTATTTTAGGGAACTGATTTACTTTAACGTATAAGTGATATTAAAATTGCATTTCTACGTGATTTGCTTTGATCACTTTAATCACTGAAAACAATAACCAATGGGGTTGTTTAGTTTTATTTACTAGATCACTGAACTAGCTCAAAAGAAGCACACCAAATTCAGTGTGTGGATGCAGAGTAAGACACAAACAGAGTAGGACAAATGTTCAACTCTCTAGAAGTATTAGAAGAAAACTTTATCCAGAGCCTCTGTATCTCTGAGGTCCTAGTGTCACGATTTTGAAAAGTAAAGTTGTATCCAGGTAATTGCCAAGTATTTGATTGTGTAGATTATTTAAAACTACACGTTTAAACTACTTAATGTTTTATTTTGTTTTACTTACCCAACTATTTTATGTGAGTGGGCATCAACCCTCATTAACACATAAAAATATCACTGTTTATTCTAAACTTGCTTCAGTAGCGTAAACATGGCCTAAAGGGGGCAGTGTTTATATAAAGGATTACTATCACAGCACCGAAGTTACTGGCTTCTATGTTTGGGCAGGAACAAGGTTTTAGTTATTCTGTTTCATGAATTCTAAAGAAATTTGTTTCCTCTCCTATAAGAAGCATTCCACATAAAAAAGCATTTTGGTTGACGGCCGATCAAATTGTTTCTATAAAGTTTGCTGTGAAAACATGATTTTTTGTAGATACGAGCTCTTTCAAACTGATGACCATGTCGTGATAGGATTTGCTTTTTGGGACTGCTGCTATTATTAGCTTTAGCACCCCAGGTCTTCGAGCTGTAAGTAGAAATTGTTATCATCTAACCAAATTCATAGATTGAAGTGTCCTGATCAACTGCCACCCGAGAGCCAGTTTATTTATCTATCTATCCTTAACGACCTCTTTTTCTCCACAAGGAGAAACACTACACAAAGAGGAAATTAATTACAGAATGGTTGTTGCCACATAGGTTAAGACACAACGGACAGTTGTCTAGGCATAGAATAAGAGTTCTTGCGTCAAATATCAGTGATGCCACTTTCCAGATCTTTCATTTACTTTCGTTTAAGGTGGGATTTAGAGCAATTAAATGAAATAGCTACCTGAGGTCAGATTTCAAACAAGTTACTGTTGCAGAAAATAACATGTCTGAAAAAGGAGCTCATGAAACCTGGCAACGTCATGAATTTGGCAGAACAAATGGGAATGACTGGATATAACACAAAGCAGTTTAGTACCTCTCTTTCCTTCTGGACAAGTGGCCAGCATTAAACTATACCCTCTTCTGAAGTCGCAGAGATATGGGAAAGATTGACAGCTGAAGAATACACTTGTATCTCCCCATACGAAGTTGTTACTCAAATATAGATCTCAAGGGAGGGGTAAGTATTACTCTGCTGAGCCTGAATATGTATGTACCAAGATAAAAAAGATGACAAGAACCCTTGCCTTATGTCTGATTGATTGGCTTTAATATCTGTGGTCTTCATGACTTAAGTCAGAATAACATCTTGGGTCATAAACACGTTTTGTTTCAATTCTGATTCAATCTTAACACATTTTCAGCACTCTTAAATGTGCACTCCATGGATTGTTGGATTTGAAACATAATCTATAACTGGTGAAAAATGGCGGCGGGATTTATTTAGGCTACTTAAGATCCTGCAGTGATTTCCTGTACTTGAGATTCTGCTTTTTTTTTTTTCTTAACCACCTCTGTTAAGCAAACAAAATGGAAGATTTCAGTATTTTATGTATATAATTCTCCCACTGTGAGCTCATTCACACTTGGTGTGTGCATGCACACACAGAGACACACAGACACACACACACACAACAGATACACATGCTCCCAATTTACCCTTTTCCTTTTAATTGGACATCAAAATATACATTAACTATAAAATATTAAAAATTATTTTATAACATTTCAAAGGCTTGGAAGGAACTATTACTGATAAATCATCACTAAAATTTTTTTTAGCAATATAGATTACAAAAATTTCCTAAATCCTGTTATATTTGGTCTTATTGAGCAGCACTATACTACTGCTGTCAATACCCTTACAAGGAAAACCACTATGACAATAACATCAACACATACCTTTTCTCTCAGAAATATAATACTAAAGTGATTGTTAAAGAGGAACCACATACTGTGAATTTTAGGAAGCATAAATAGTAATTTAAATACACAAAATATATGTGATAGTTTCCTTTTTATTCATCTGTGGCAATATTTATACCCAACTAACAAGTTACTATTAAAAGATATATATGATTTTTTTAACTTAATTTTCACCACCACATAAAATTGAATCCACCCCATCCCCCCATCCCCTGCGTTTCCTGTTTCTTCCTCTATACAAAATAAAATAAATAAGACGTCATAGTTCTTTGGTCATGGTGTCATAATCAGTGAAAATGGGCACGATCATGCACAGAAGATTATGACCCAAAAACGTAGTGATAACTAGTTTGAGAAATTAACAAGAGCTACCTTATCGTGAGTGGACCTAAATTTTGAGAAATATTTGCATTTAGCGTGCTAAAATATGTAAACCTATCTGTTTGAATGTTCATTTCTCAGCTTTGGGGGGGTGGCAAACAAACATTCACATAAAAGTTACTTAAAAACGGGGCTGGCAGTGACTATGATGACACTGTCCCCACCGTCTTGAAAGCAGTCATGCTCTGCAGCTTCTGATTCCTTGTTCCCTCCATTGTCACAGTGAACCCTGGTCTCCTCCAATCAGATCAATGATGTAAAGACACCTGTCCCAAAATTATTTCTTCAGGAAATGTTTTCTGCTGGGTTGTCCAAATATACCCTGATAACTCTCTGGACTCTGACTAAACATTGCTGAGTATAAATAAGAGGATACAGAGGAGAGATTCTTATAAAGCCAATGTAGCAAAAATACAGGTGTTAGTGTTACATGGGTGTCCAAATTAAGCATCACATTTGCAGTCATTTCCTGTCAAACCCTCAAAAACTCAAAAAGCAACAGATGCTCCTAATGAATATGCTATTCAACTTCTACATTACTAGCACCAGATTAATTCATATATTACTTGGTTGAACATGATTTATAGCTGTGAGCTCTTGTACAGAAGCCAAATATGGGCAGAAAAAAACACATTTCCAAGGCAAAAAATAATAATAAAAGGCATCAGGGGATTACATATAAAAGAGATAACAAATCCATTAATACCGAAATTATATAGTAAAACTCTTGATATTTCTGTAATTTATATACGTATAATGTGTATTATTTTGGATGTCACCCATACACTAGTAAAATATTTACATTTTAATATCTTCTGGATTCAAAATAATCCGGGATAAATAAGCCTGCCTTCATTGCAAGGAAATAGACATTTATCTTGAACTTGCCACAAGAAGGCACAGCTCCTGTGGGTTTTCCAGGGCAGCTCTGGCATTCCAATCCAACAGAGAAGGTATGGTGCAGCTAATTCTCACATGACCGAGATGATCTTCCTGTTCACATTAAGTAACCGTGGTCTTGTGGAGTTCAAGCTATCCTGTCCACAGTCAGATGGCGGTATCCCAGAATACCGTTTGCTGCTTAGAATAGGGTGGAGGGCTGTACTTCTTTGCACCTGCGTTCTTCTTCCAGCTGGGTAGGATGGGCATGCTATCCTGTTTGCAAAGGCCCTTTTCTGTTTTCTGTCTAGCCTTTATTTCCTTGCACAAGCAACGCTTTTTCTCAATCATCTCAAGCATTGTATGGTCTCCATGAAACCACGGCATGCATGCCACCTAGCGAAAAAGAAAGAGTGAATACAAAAGGAAAAAATGGAAGGAAAGCAGACTTTCTGCACTGTGCTAGGAGTTGTTTAGAAAAATGTCAAATATTTTTATACCTTCTTTAAAAATGCTTAAAATAAATTCAGAAATAGATTGATTCTTACAAAGCTAAAAAAAGAAAAAGGAAGCATGGAAGCTATAAATAAACTTTATACGTAAGTTAATGAACATTGTGATAATATTTAACAATCATTTAGGCATGAATAATTTTCTAATATGTTTTAAAAGTCCATGATATGGAGATGTGATTTTTTTAACCTGTGTAAGCAATTTGCCAAATATCTGTTACTTTCATATTTACTCCATTGTCTTCATGATCCCAATATGCCTAATTACTGTAATTGCTTTTCAGTGTGATTTAATACGCCTGTGATATGTTTTAAAGATTTTAATGAACATTTTCATTCTTGAAACCCTTTTTAAACATTTGGGCTTTCTTAGTAAACAATATGTAGTAGAACTGAGATTGAACTCTTTTTCCGACTAAAATGACTTTCAGTGTATACTGTATGCTGGCATTTAAATGCTTAAATGATTCTTCTGCAAAGGAGTTTTCACTCGACTTTTTCATGCTTTAGCAGACGTGTCAATTAGACATGAATCAAGAATCCTTGGACTCTGTAATGACACTGACTCAAACCCAAATTAGTTTTAGCTGATTCACCGAGTGAATTGGGTTACCAGAAGAAGATCTAATGTGTGTATATTGACATACATACATATATTCCTGGACAAGTAAGCTCTATCCTCTGATACACGTGGTGTGATGTCCAGCAGTAACTATTCTTTGAAACAGAGCCAGGGAGCTGAGTCTGTTCACAAGATACGTCAATGAGACAGGGCCATGAGCCCAGAACGGCGGGGCGGGAGGAGGGTTCAATTAATTGGTTAAGCAAATATAACCTGAAGGGTGAAAACGGCACACTTTCAGTCACTGAATTTATGTTACAATTTTAGGATAATGATCAGAGCAAGCAGCTGTGTAATGATTACTGTCTATACCAGATCCTTTTCTACGTACTTTGCACATTTTATTTCATTTATTCCTCACAACAACCCTATGAAGTAAGTACCATTTATTAACCTTGTAAGGTGAGTAAAACGAGATGTAGAGAGATTTGATATTTTGCCCAAAGTAGCAGAGCCCATAAATGTCAGAGTCAAAATTTGAACCCAAGAGTCCAGCTCCAATACCCAAGTCTTTACAAACTACACTATCCTGCCTCTCAGTGTGAATGTCTGTTGTTGTTGTTAGGTGCCATGGAGTCAATTTGATTCACAGCAACCTCAGGTGACAGTAGTACTGCCCCATGGAGTTTTCTAGGATGTAACTTTTATGGAAGCAGATTGCCAGGTCTTTCTCCCACAGAACCACTGGATGGCTATCAGTTAACAGCCAAGTGCTTAGCCACCAGGGATCCTTCTCAATGCAAATACTGAACTGAAAAGGATTGTCGTTGCTGTTAGGTGCCATCGAGTCAATTCCAACCCATAGCGACCCTATGCAGAATGGAACAAAACACTGCCGAGTCCTGTGCCATCCTCACAATGGTTGCCTTGCTTGAGCCCATTGTTGCAGCCACTGTGTCAGTCCATCTCATTGAAGGTCTTCCTTTTTTTTTGCTGACTTTACCAAGAATGATGTCCTTCTCCAGGAACTAGTCCCTCCTGATAACATGTCCAAGGAATTTGAGGGGAAGTCTTGCCATCCTCGTTTTAAGGAATATTCTGGCTGTACTTCTTCCAAGAGAGGTTTGTACATTCTTCTGGCAGTCCGTGGTACATTCAATATTCTTTGCCAACACCATAATTCAAAGGCATCAATTCTTCTTTGTTCTTCCTTCTTCATTGTCCAGCTTTCACATGCATATGACGCAATTCAAAATACCATGGCTTGAAGCCGGCACACCTCAGTCTTCAAAGTGACATCTTTACTTTTTAACACTTGAAAGAGGTCTTTTACAGCGGATTTGCCCAGTGCAATACGTCATTTGATTTCTTGACTGCTCCTTCCATGGGCATTGATTGTGGATCCAAATAAAATGAAATCCTTGACAACTTCAATCTTATTTCCGTTTATCGTGATGTTGCTTATTGGTGCAGTTATGAGGACTTTTGTTTTCTTTATGTTAAAGTGTAATCCATACTGAAGGCTGTAGTCTTTGTGCTTGAAGTCTTCTTTGCTTTCAACAATCAAGTTTGTGTCATCTGCATATCGCAGATTGTTAATTAGTCTTTCTCCAATCCTGATGCTGCATTCTTCTTCATATAGTCCAGGTTCTTATATTATTTGCTCAGCATACAGATTGAGTAAGTATGGTGAAAAGATACAACCCTGTTGCACACCTTTTCTGATCTTAAACCATGCAGTATTCCCTTGTTCTGTTCCAACGACTACCTTTTGGTCTACATACAGGTTCCTCATGAGCACAATTAAGTGTTCTGGAATTCTCCTTCTTTGCAAGGTTATCCATAATTTGTTATAGTTCACACAGTCAAATGCCTTCATGTAGTCAATAAAACACAGGTAAACATCTTTCCAGTATTCTCTGCTTTTAGTCAGGATCCATCTAACATCAGCAATGATATCCTTTGTTCTGTGTCCTCTTCTGAATCCAGCGTGATTCTCTGGGAGTTCCCTGTCAATGTACTGCTACAACAGTTATTGAATAACCTTCAGGTTAATTTTACTTGCATGTGATATTAGTGATATTGTTTAATAATTTCTGCATTCTGTTGGATCATCTTTCTTTGGAATAGGCACGTATATGGATATCCTCCTGTCAGTTGGCCAGGTAGCTGTCTTCGAAATTTCTTGGCTTAGTCTAGTGACGGCTTCCAGTTTTGCATCCGTTTGTTGAAACATCTCAATCGGCATTCTGTCAACGCCTGGAGCCTTGTTTTTCACCAATGCCTTCATTGCACCCTGGACTTCTTCCCTCAGTATCGTTGGTTCTTGATCATATGCTGCCTCCTGAAATGGTTGAACATCGACTACTTCTTTTTGGTACAGTAACTCTGTGTATTCATGCATCTTCTTTTGATGCTTTCTGCATCTTTCAATATTTTGCCCAGAGAATCCTTCAATATTGCAATTAAGGCTTGAATTTTTTCTTCAGTTTTTTCAGCTTGAGAAATCCTGAGCTTGTTCTTCTCCTTTGATTTTCTAACTCCAGGTCTTTGCACATGTTATTATAATATTTACTTTGTCTTCTCGAGCTGCCCTTTGAAATCTTTTTATTCAGCTCTTTTACTTCATCATTTCTTCCTTTCAATTTAACTACTCTATGTTCAAGAGCAAGTTTCAGAAAAGGATTGGAGAAATATATTAGTACAACATCCTCAATTTATAGATGAGGAAGCTAAGAAGTCAAGACCATAAATATTCTGCATAAAGCCAGGCAGCTATATCTTGGTATGAAAAGGGCGAAATTGAGGTCTCATGATTCGTAATCCTTTAGGGAAAGGGCAGGGCCTGGAGCTAGAAAACATGGATTCAAATCCTGGATTTATCAGATTCCTGCTGATCTCTCAGCTTCTTGGTTTCTTTATGAGAATAACTGAATTGCTAATACCTCATTTTTAGGAGTGATTGGGAGGATTAAATGGAATAATGAAGGCAAAATTATTTTAAAATCAGTAAAGCACTGTCAGCATGTTGTTATTCTAATGCTTAGAAATTTCTAGTAGTTTTTGGAAACTTATCCGCTGTCAGCATGTGCAAAGAGATCTATGTATTTTATATTAAATCCTCACAGCCACACTAAAAGATAGGATTTATATACAGGCTACAAGCTAGAAAACTGAGGCGTGGGAAGTTGAAGGAACTCAGTCAAGGTCACAGCTAACCATTAATAGACTCAGGTCTGTCTGACTCCAAAGTTGATATTCTTTCTATTATACTATGCTCTGTCTCCTGAATATTATTTAGAAATTATAATAATAATTACTTTGCATGTGCTACAATTTCCAGATGCTTCTCAGAAATGCAAATATATTTATGGCTTTATGAGAGTGAATAAAATGTATTTATCAAATCATTAAATCAAAATCGATGGATTGGACTTAGAGCTCAGAAGATGATACTCCTAGAGAAATATATTTTATGTGTCTACCTTGATATACAGTTACTTGAAAGGATGGTCGGTTTTATGCCTTTTGGTGTCTTCTAGCCCCTGCTCAGGGCCTTGGCCATGGGTGTTCACATTTAAATAAAATTCTACCTGTTTAATGTGATAATCTAACCTACAGGTTTGTGTCCCAACACGAGATTCCCAAAGTGACTCTGAAAGTTTTCCAAAGAGCGATAACATTTTATAACCCAATAATCTATGCAATAAAAATACAGTAACTCTATTTTGGTGGAAATGCAAGCAAAATTTATTTAGTGGCTATAAACTGTTCTAATGGAATTTATAATATAGAACTCCCAGAGAGTAGACCCCAAATTTCATCCATCTCAGTAGCTCCAACATGTAGCACAGAGTCATGGGCTCTCAATAAAAATTCCATGGATTGAAAAGAAGCCACCACCACTGAACAATTTTTGTTGCCTCTCAGAAAACTCTCCAGATCATTTTTTTCTTAGTAAAACCTTATTGGACTCTACACATATCAATATAATCCCAAAAACTTCAACCATTTTTATGGCAGGTATTTCTTATAGCATCACTTCTAAATTGTTATGTTATTTATTACCTTGGCCACGAAAACATTAAATGATTTATTACTTAATTTTCTTTAGTATGTTGGGATGTGAATCAGTACATGTGACTACAAAGTAATGATTTTCCTGAACTGCTTTGACAACAGTGTCACTGACATATTTCATACTAGTCATTACATTTCTTACATGTATAGACCGCATTGTATTATCTATCATAGATATGTTTTGTCTATTAGAAATTTACAGAATGCAAGCGAGTCAGTTTTTAAGAATAATAAGTACTTTA